AGAGAGAGATGCCTTTTTAAGGTATGCTCAGCAATTCTTTTATTATATTGTCATTTTTTTTTACCTGAGAGATTATTTCTCATCTGATTTCCTTTAAAAACCTGATGGAGTTGTTTATTTTAGTTGCTATCATTTCAGAAATTTCAGGTATGTGATTGCCAGTTTGTTCTATGGTTATGTCTCCTGGATTTGTTCTTGGTGGGCTGGGTGTCTGAGATTGTATTTTGCTTCTTTGTCTTGTCGTTTTCCTGGGTTCCTCAGGATGGTCCAGTTGCCCAGCCCTGTGTGCTTCTTGCACAGGCTGCCTGTCCCCTGATTTAGGGGAGTGTCCCAGGCACTTGTGTTCCTCCCAAATGAGGTTCCACTGATGGTGGAAGAGTGGTGGATCGGCCCTCTCAAGTCTTATTTGCTGACACCTATCATACTTATATGGTATGCTGAGCTCATCGGGGCTCATGCAATGGCACTGGGGCAATGGCCAGGCCTTCTGTCATTCCTCTCAGCTCACTGAATCTCCCATGATGGGACTGGGCTAGTGGGTAGGCCCCTTTTTTCTATTTGAAGTAAAATTATCTTAACTGTTCTCTGTACATTTAGAAACACATGAAGCACTGTAACAACTTTACTTCAACTGTCAAGCATAATTTAGTATACTCAAGAGGAGACGGAAACTACTATATTTGCCCATATGCTTTCTTACCATATTCTTGTTCCTACCTGACAATCCAAAGTGTGTTCTCTTGTTGTTTCATTTCCACTTAGAGAATTTCCTAAAGCTGTTTCAGGGTAGGTTTGATGGTGACAAATTCCCTTAGTTTCTCTTCACCTGAAAATATCTTGATTTCCCCTTACTCTTGTAAGATATTTTTGCTGAATGTGAGATTCTAGGTTGAAATATCCAGTTGAGGTCATTCCCCTCTTGATTTAACTCCCATTCTACCCTCGGGCTTTAAATTTCCATCACCAGGCTTTTCTGTAACTTGTATCTTCCAAGAAGCATAGGGATTTTCATATCTTTTGAGGCTACAGGTACTTCTCCTCCTGAATCACAAACTTGGGTTTTACAATAAGGTTCTGAAATTGACAAACTTACATTTCCACCTGAAATCATTGTCTGGGTAGTATAACATCCATAGTGCTTTATAATAGAGATATAGAAGAGTTGCCTGACTATGAATCATGGCTCTGCTACTTGAGTTTTGTGACCTTGAGTAAGATACATAACTCTCTGTGCCTCAGTTTCTTCATCTGTTAAATGAATGATACCATGTAGCTCAAATGAACTTAGTTAGAATTAAGTGAGTTAATACAATTAAACTGCTTAAAGTTTGCCTCACAAATAATAAGTGCTCAATAAATGCTATCAATATTATTGTCACTATTAACATTTATATTAACTCATGAAGACAACACTTTTATACTAAGAATATATTTTCTAAAATATACTATAGTTTTATCATTTTAGTGATCAGAGATATTTAGTAAAAAGATAGGTAACATCATATACTCTTTATAATGCCCAGAAACTGAACTATATTTCTGGATAGTATAATAGCTGTCCATAGTGGTTTTCCCTATTTCCTCCTTATTGTAATACTTTCATCAATACTAACAGAATTTTGATTGTTTAATCTCTTAAACTAAACTGAAAATAATATTATACGCATGAATCAATTCTGCGAAAGAAATCACTATTCTGTGTTACATTTCTCCTTATCATAAAAATTTTACAAGATAAAAAATTACCTGAAAATACACAGTTTACAGCCCTCCCATGGATACTAAAATCCTCAGATTTTCAAGTTCTTTATATAAAAAGGCATAGTGTATTCACAATGCCTAAGCATGTCCTCCCATTTGCTTTAAATCATCTCTAGATTACTTATAAAGTGTAATAAAATGTAAATGCTATGTGAATGATTATACTGTATTATTTAGGGAATAATGACAAGAAAAATGTAGAGGAAAGAAAGTTCCCATCTGAAAAAGAAACAGAAGTGATCCTGAGCGGGTTGCCAAGGACCCTGCCTTTTCTGGGGATTTTTAGAGAGCAAAACCATGAAGTGAGACAGGTCCTACAAGAAAAATATAAATTTTCGGAGCAGATGCATTTTTTTCTCAAATGTTTTACCCAAATGTCATTCAGTCCATCAATATGACATCCATGCCTATGAAACAGATAAGTGAGACTTAATGAACTAACAGAAAAATCATGTCAACAGGGAAGTCATCCGTTTTCCAGATGAAAAATATGCTCTCTCAATTAGGAAATTATTTTTCTGTTGAAGGCCAATAACAATAGAAATTAGGGTGTTTTTTGAACATACCACATTTAATTGACTTTTTCTTTTAATTAAAGACTAGGGACTTGTATAAAAAACAATTCCGGTTCCAAATGGAGATCAGTTATGTTCATAAGAAAGCAATGTGTGTCTGAAGGGAGACTAGAAGGAGAGTGATTTGGTAGGTGTACATCTCTGCATAGCACAACAGCTCACACTGGCTTGTTCGTTCACGTTCCTGTGTGATCTAGTTCCTCAGAACAGTCCTGTGGTAAGGCAGTTAACCTTTTATCCCGTTTTACAGATGAAGTGGAGACTCAGAAAGGTAAAGTGATTTATCCCAGTGCTCTCAGGTAGAGCTCTCATTGAGCTCGGACTCAAATCTGGGTCTGCCTTATCTTTGAAGAGAGAAATAAAAGAACTGAAATACAAACTGACAGTAGCTTTCGGGTGTTAGAAGAATCATTTTACTCTTAATTAGACTCTCATTGCCTCTTTCAAATGTGGATCAAGTTATTGTTTATGATCTCTTTACCATCCTAAAGACTCATGTGAATGGATATCTAATGGTATGAAAGTCATTTTCTTAGCTACAGAGGTAGTGACTAAAACAGTAATCACGCTAAAATCTCTCTTCTGTCCATCTAGAATATGGTATATTTTATTCTTTGCCCTGACCCTCATTGAAGAAAAAATCTGGCTAGAAATAAATGGACTAAAGCAGCTCCTGGGTAGAATCATTGTACTTGTCACTGTTAGAATACTAAGAGTATTACTGAGTCTGATTAGCTAATCTATTTATATCTAAGAACCTCTCCAGTACTTATATTTGTCAGTTTTTAAAATCCTAATTCCTAGCAGACTCCACATAAAGACAGACTATAATGGGCTATTGCTATGGGGTCTCATTTCTTTCTGTCAAGATATGAATACTATATAAAGGACACACATGCTGCAATGAATCAGAAATCACTTCGAATCTTTATTTTCTTTGTTCTTTCTAGCCCATACCAAAAGAACAAAAGACCTATATTTTATGGCTCTGTAAATTCATTGAAATTCTTTTCAGCAGGAGTGAATAATGTATAATAGCAGCAAAAGGGGGAAAATATATAATTGCTTTTTTTAACTAAAGTAATTCAGAATTTCCAAGAATGCCTCTATTTCTGGAGGAATTATTCGTGGTTTTATCTCTGAAAGTGAAGCATTTGATTTAAAAAAATAATAAAACATGAGGAAATAAAATAGAGGATGAATTTTTACTGTCTTTGGTATTTATAGTAGGTGTGGAAGTTTCTTGTTGATGTCTGTGACAAATTTTGAGTTATATTAGAAACAGTCTTGCATTTGGAAGGAAAAAATGAGATGTTTCAGAAATCTTTATACAGTATATATAATGTATTAGAGTATTCAAATAATTTAAGTCTGAAAAGATAAAGAATGTCTGCATGTTTAAGTATCTTTAGTTCTATAGAAGGATGTGGTAATCAAGTGTTTAGCTGGACATAATTTTAAAGAACCCATCTGTGCAAGCTATTACAATCATCTAAAAGCTAACACCTTAAATTTGAGTAACATAAAGTTTGAGTCAAAATACTGAAATGCATGCTGGGTGTGGTGCATGTCTGTGATACCAGCCCTCTGGGAGACTGAGCTAGGAGGATTTCAAGTTCAAGCCCAGCCAGGGTAATTAGTGTCTTAGCAGGACCCTCTCTCAAAATAGTGAGATGTAACTCACTATGAAGACCCTTGGTTCCATTTTCAATACTGTATACCCCCCTCAAAAAAGCTGTAATACAGAAATCAAATAAAGAAGGAGATAGACATGGCTACATAAAGTATGAGGCAGTTATGCAGAATCCAAAATATAATTAGAGGCTATTTTTCTCATACAAAGTCTCTTTACCCTCATCTTTCTGCACAAACTATAACAATCGTGTATGTTTAAATAAAATAAATATTATTTTATTCTGAACCAGTGACTATTAATTTGCCTGCAGGCAAAAATTATTACAGTAAATTTAGCAATATAGCAGGTCAGGAAAATATTTCAAGTGGATCAGTCAGTATTTGAATATTATATTTTATGTAATTTTATAGATGGAAGAGGAATATATAACTTAAGACAGGATCTGTGTAGTCCAGACTGGCCTTGAACTCACTATGTAGCCCAGGCTGGCCTTGAACTCACAGCAATCCTGCTACCTCAACCCCACGCGTGCTGGGATTATAGACATGCACCACCATGCCTGGACTGTTTCATTTTTTAGAAAAAACACACTATAGATGTTCCTTGACTTACAATGGGATTAAGTCTGATACTGTAAGTTGAAAAGGCATTTAATTCTCCTACCCAAGAGATCGTCCTGGCTCTTAGCAACACAGTGCACCATAGACACTGTATTAGTTGTTTCCCTTCATGATTGCCTGGCTCCCCGGGATCATACTGCATATTGCTAGACTGAGCAAAGAGAGTCTGGAGTTTGGTTTCTACTGAACATCACTTTTTCACTATACAAAATTGAAAGTCAAAGTATTGTAAATCAGTGACCAATTTTGGATATAATTTTGGTAGATTCAACCACTAGAAAAAAACAATTGAACTCCAAAGAAATGTTTATCTAATGTTATTAAAATCTGAGATTTCTGTGAGTTGCTTAAGATCTTGGAATTTAAGACCTAAATAATGTAATATTTTATGTGGTTTTTCTGTTACAGATGACTTGTTTAAAGTTCACAAGCTTAAGCCAAATCTGAAGTGGCGACAGGCTTTTGACAGCTACTTAAAAACTCTGCCTCCATACTACTTATTAGTATGTATTTATACGTATATATATATTATATATAAATGTGTGTGTTAACTGTGTCATTGATGATTGTTGTCCTAAGAAATAATGAATCAAAAGCTTTATTCCTGCAATAAGATAATCATCTTGTTATTTTACAAAGATTTGTGTCGTCACTGTCTTCTCAAAACATGTATAAGAGTTTCGAGATTTCATGATGGCACAAAAAAGCACTGTTTCCTGTATTTTTCTTTTAACTGCCATGGTTATTTTTATTAAACACATCTGTATTTCTCTTATTAAAACTAACCCTCTGAAATTGTAATTTTGGAACGTAAGAATAAATAGGTCTCAATTTATGTATCACACCAACTTCCCTTTTTAACTCTAGAAATTCTTAATATGGCATTTCCCTCTGAAAACAAAATTTGAAGACATAGCTGCTTTTTATTGACTGTTAAATGTGTCCTAGACCCATTATGAAATAGAAGCACTGTAAAACATCATGACCTTGTTGGGGGAAGCTAAGTTTCTAGAGGTGAAAAGGCAGAATCTTCAGTGGGACCACTGGTCTAACTGGGAGGAAAAATTGGGGTGTGTTGGTACCAACCATGGCAGGGATGGGATATGCAATGTGAAATGATTCTGTGACTGGGGAATTAAGACTGAAAGCAATTTACTTGTTTGAATTTGCTGTTACTTGCTCTTCTTATCCCACTCTCTTCTGATTTTTTACTTTCTGCTTCTTACTTCTCTGCTATTTTCATTGCCACTTTTTAATGTTCCATGTTTGGTTTTATGTGCAGCACCTTGACTTCTAAGAAATGAATCATATCCCTTTGCCCCTTATAACTGAACTTTGAGTATTTTAAGATTTATTCTATTCTTACTGTTGTGTATTTTGTTTCCTTATAGCCATTAAAGAAAGCACTAAGGATGATGGGAGCTCCAAATCTGATATCAGATAATTTAGATTGTGGACTTAGTTACAGTGTTATCTCTTACCTTAAAAAACTCAGCCAACAGGTAGTATTGGTAAAAACAAACAAACAAAAATCCTTTGCCCTCAGAAGTGCATTTCCTTATTCTCTAGTGTAATTGTAATTTTTCAAATTAAATGTGTATATATCTCTACACTTTATGGATTAGTAGTAATGTGATTCTCTATGGCTTCTAGCTTCACCATTAAACTACAGTTAAGGGTCTGTCAGTATCATTCGATGCTGTGCCATTTCTCCTTCTGCCTGCCGGTTTGTCCTACCCACAAGCTGGCTGATATTTTGTGGCCTAAGAGGGGCAGAAACCTAATAGAATTCTCTCATGGGTCACATTTTGTCTATCCTCAACCTAGTTTCTCCTGAAATCGCTTTGGGCTAGAGCATCCCCCTTTTGTAGGTCAGCACACAGCGGCCTGTTGTGAGTAAATGACTTGCCTGAAATCTGTTTTCAGGCACCACATGAAGTACTTACCCTCACATACTAGGCTTTGGTTAAATAGCCACTTGCTTTACCCTGGAGAGGGGGGGGACATGAGACCAGCGTTCCTTAACCTTGAGGGTGAGAGGCCCAAGGGGACCTGGAGAGTGGAGCTCAGCCTCCTCTCTTCTTGCCCTCCATCTGTTCCTTTATACCCCACCTCATTTACCATTATTCACCTCGTCCCTTGCCTGCCCCTCTCTATTAGTACCTCATCCTCCACTCACCCCTCCTTATCATACTTCTCACCTCTACCTAGCCCATTCTTGTAGGATGGAAATGTTTGGGAACTGTTGAGTTAGAGCTCTACTGCCATACAATTGTGTTATGTGACAAATCAATGCAGTAGTTTTACTCTCTTGAGCACAAATATATTCCAAGGTAGGGAGCCATAGTAGCCTTTGCAGTGATTATAATGCTTCAAGCTGGATATGTTTGGAAGTTTGGCCTTTGGAAAAGTGACTGTAGTAAGCAGTGTCAGATTTCACTAAAGAGCCAAAGGGACTCTACTGGGATGCTGGCATGCTTAGATAGGAACTAGCACTATCTTAAATACAGTCTGGAGCTTACTAGCTCCTACCAGTTCAGTGTGCTCATAAATGCAAAAGAAAGTAAAAGTAAACCCAGATTTCTGATCTGATCCAAGTGTCCCTCTAACCCCTATTCTTTTCTGCTAATAGATTTTTTGTTGTTGTTGTAAATGTTTTGGTTTGGTTATTTATGTTATTTATTTATCTATTGATCTATAGATTTATTTTTTATTTGATAGTTTCCTTACGCCTTTAAGGCTATGTCAGCAGGAATAATAGTGAACAGAATTGAAACTAATGCAAGTTCTGGAACCTTCTGGGGCACATTGCTTGTATAGTTTTACAAATGAGTTCTCTAACTCATTTAGGGAAACAGACTTGTCATTTGCTCTTATATTTCATGACTTAGGAAATTTTTAGAGCTAATGAACATGCTGAATTCCAAGAATTAGGGAAAATAAGTAAATATCTCTGACCAAACCACAAGAAAATTCAAATTATTTTGGGCTTACTAGACATTGGTAGAACTTCTTCTTTTAGAGACAAAGAAAAGATCATTACTAATTTATAACATTTCTAATTACTAATTTAATAACTATGTTACCAGTGTTCTTTGAACCATCTCCCTTGTATATAAAGCATAAAATATATCTAATATATTGCCATAATACATTCTCAGGCAAAATTAATAGAGTGTAATAATGTCTACTAAGAGAGTTTTTTCATTGTGAGTGAGAAGCTTATTGAGTACACATTACAAATTGTACTTGGTAATATTTTTCAATTAAACATTACCTTATAAGACATTTTTGTAAAGCCCAGTGTTAAAAATAAAGTTTAATATTTTCAGATACAGTCTACCATAATTTTAACACTACTCTACATGTATACATAGAGTCTTAAACCTTTATGTCTAGTCTGAAATGAGTATGTTGATTTAGACTAGATTTTTCAGTAACACAATGTGCTTTTAAATGTCTAGGAATGGAATTCTTATGCATGGTTTCCATTCTCCATGATTCAGTCCCAATTTTGACAGCAGACAAGAGAAAAAAAAATTATTACTTGTCTTTTCAGCCCCCTCTGTTTGCTGTGCTAGTACAGAGAAGCACATGAAAATGTTTAATTATTTGTTTTTCTGTAATTTGCAATTGAAAATTATTCTGTGGGGTTCTTAAGTTATTATCTTTCTTAAGTAGTAAAAACGAAGCAATACAGTAGATGTTTTCATAACATACTATGTACTTTCATTTTAGACCAAACTAGAGTCAGAAAGAATATTAGCGTCAGTGGGGAAGAAACCTCCCCAGGAAATTGGTATCAAAGTGAAAAATCATTCTGGAGGCAACATGTCCTTGGCTCACAATAAAAATTTTAGAAAACTATTGAAAGAAATCACAGGGGAAACTGCACTGAGATTGACAGAATTGAATACCAAAGAATTTGCAGGCTTCCAAGTTGGGCTCTTAAACAAGGTAAATTGTGACATAAAAAGCTTTTATTTGTTTGAACTTGTCTAGTACATTTCTATATATTCTTATTGCTTTAGTTTTGAAATAGTGACAATCCTGTTTTGGCGTTAGTCATTATTACTGGGAGCAGTTTAGGAATTATTCTGCCAGTAGATGCCAACATGGGATTAAATGTGCCATATATGTTTGGGAAGTTGGTAAAACCTGTGAAAGATACAGGAGAGTGCGAGCTGTTTAGGTAAGGAGAGCCTCCAGCCCACAACGTTGACAGAAAAGAGAGGCTAAAAGGAGGATGGGGAAGCAGCAGCTCAGACACCCATGTGTCTTGCAGAAAGTCTGAGGCAGCCCAGCGGGGAACTCTGATACTTTCTGTCCCCTGGAGGAGGTTCATGTGGGCAGTTGGCCACATCTCACCATGCTGCCATTCTCAGTTCCTAGTGGCAAGCGGCTTGGTGGAATGGGCACCCCCAAGGCACTGCAGGGGGACTCTCAGCCAAGTGTACTCCCTGTGGTGTCAGCCTCTGTGGTGGCCCAGATGGCAGTAGCCCACTTCCATGGCTACCTGGGGCCCAACTCAGATCACAGGCGGTGGTCCTGCGTGGCCATCAAGGTGTAAATCTCCAAATTTGGAGTTTTAAGTGATGTACTTGAAATAGGGATCATCCCCATGTCTTTAATACCTTGTAGGTGTGTTTAAAATTGGAAAATTACCAATGAGAAAATTCTTTCTCTAGTTAGTTATATTAAATATAAGTCTTCAGTAAGATTTTAAAAGGGCTAAGTATTATATTTCTACATTAGAAACCTCAGGAGTAACTGAAATTTTCCCATTTCAAATAGAATTTGAAACCTCAGACATATCGAAATGCTTATGATATTCCACGTAGAGATCTTTTGGATCAGTTGACCAGAATGAGATCCAACCTACTGAAAACACACAAGTTTATCGTTGGACAAGATGAAGGTAAATAAACAATGCAGTACTTTTCATTCAGAAAATGCCAGGTATAGGGCTGGGGATATAGCTCAGTGGTACAGTGCCTGTCCAGCAAGTGGAAGGTCCTGAGTTCGATTTCTGCTACCAAAAAAAATAGACAATTAAAATGCCAGGTATGACTTACATGACAGTATTTATTGCTTAATGATCAAATTATTTCCTAATTCTTTAATGTGCACAGTGTTTGTTTTCACTAAATCCCTGCATACTCTTAGGCACAATTGATTTTTCTAAGTTTAAAGGTAAGTATGTGTTAATTAGCACATACACTGTACTCACCATGCTTCCCTGCTTTAGCTCTTATATGCTTCAACCAGCACCTGGAGATAGATAATGTCTTAATATCAATTACATGGGCATTGAAACTGAAACATTTTAGGAGTTTGTCAGGTTTTACTCCATTAGAAAGTGACAGTACATAGATCCATCTGATTTCTCAAATGACACATTCCAGGATGAATTCAATTAATAATACCTTATTTATATGAAAGTAATGAACCTAATAGTGTCCAAAATTGTGGCTATAATTTCCTTTATTCTGTTAATTTTAAATGGGGTTACCTATCAAGTAAAAAGGACAAATCTAAAGCCTGGTAAGTCCTCTGAAATTATACCTTTTTGTGTATATAGGGACTTTTCTAGAAAGAAAGCCTAATTATTTGTGCTAGTCACTTTTCTCTCATTGCTGAGACAAAATATCTGATGCCCGAAATGAAGGAAGGAATGGTTTATTTAGTTCACAGTTTATGGAGGTTTCAGTCCATATTCAGCTGGCTCTAAGGCAGAGTAGCTCATGGCAGAAGGCAGTTAATGGAGACCGGAAGATAGCAAAAGCAACAAGAGCAAAAAAGGGAGGAGCACAAAATCGGTGGAGAAAGAAGACTGTTTCTATCTCATAATCCCAGCACTAGACAATGAATCAATCACAAACTCTAGATTCAGCTTCCAAAAAGTACCCCCCAGCATGACTACACAAGGCTTTGGGGGGACATCCAGACACAAACCATAACAATTATTTAATCAATTCTTCAGAGATTAAGACCCACTAATGATTTTCTGCATGGTGAGAGAATGCCAAGGAGTCTAGGCTCTTGGAAATACACAAGATGCATAGTGTTTTGAGGTGGGGTGAGGGTACAAGGGAGGTCAGTCCATTGTTGTATCTGGTTGAAGATAAGGAAATTGTTCTGGTCCTAGTAATGTGAATCCTAAGGAAATAGTAATAATAGAATAAGTAATGATCAAACAATGATGATTCGAGATTTTAGAATGCTAGATTCAAGATTTTAGAATTTATTTGATGCCAAGATATATACCATTAAACTAGACAATGATCATGTCCTCTCAAAAGGACTATGCATTTTGAACATATAACATCAATTTCCTTGATGGTGATTTTGCAGATTCCCTTCATAGTGTTCCAGTTGCACAAATGGGTAACTATCAGGAATATCTGAAAACCTTGGCTTCTCCACTTCGAGAGATTGATCCAGATCAACCAAAAAGACTACATACTTTTGGAAATCCATTTAAACAAGATAAAAAGGTAGGATATCAATTTCTGGCTCTGTCTAAATTATAATATTCTTGGCAATAATTATTTTCAGCAAGATGAGTACAACTCAGAGATAAAATATGACAGTAGGGCTCTTCATGGATGGAAAGTAGAAATCTCTTAATGCACAAAATGCATTGTTTAAAACTAATAGCTAATTTGTTGAGTACCTAATAGAGGTTGTTATTTCAAGTGATTACATTTAATATTCATAACCATTTGGCAAGATGAATGATACTGTCTGCCCTTTAACATGAAGTCAAAGCTTACAGTGGTCATGCACCAAAGTGCTGTGATATAGCTTTTAAGAGCCAGGATTTGAACCCATGTCTTTCTGATTCCAAAGCCTTTGCATTCCCACCACTACACACTATTGCATTTAATATTGTGATTACCAATTATTGCCTCTTATTTCCATGATTTAGATCTGTAGTACTCTTACTAGGTGTGTCCAGCATTTTGGCTTACCTGGCTGCATCGAGTGAAGCTAATGTATATAAATAACAAAACTTCTTTTATTTTTATATTTGTTATTATAACATCTTTAAAAAGTGGACAAGTGGCCACGCATAATGATGCACACCTGTAATCCCAGCACTTGGGAGGCTGAGGCAGTAAGATTGTAGTGAGTTCGAGGCCCGAATGGGCTACCTAGTGAGTTCAAGGTCAGCCTAAACTACGCAGGGAGACCCTATCCCCCTGCCCAAAATAAAAAAATAAAAAACTGGACAAGTAGCCTCAGGACCATAGGCTGAACATACCCTATTTTAAACAGTGATGACTGTGCCCCTTGAAATATGAAATGGTTTGTGATTTCATTTTATTTGAATTATACAACCAGAAATCTAAATATGGGGTATATGTGCATCTTTGTATGTGTGAGATATATTGACTTTGCCATTTAAGCATGAAAAAAATGGGATTATATCTTTGCTCATGGAGAAGACCACGATTATTAAGGGACAGACCAAACAGTAGTCTTTTTGTAACAAAACTGGACTCAGAGGTATTCTACTCTTCAATTAATTGGAGGTTTTAAATTTTCTGTGCCTTGGTGGTAGGAAACAGGGAGACAGGCTTTTTGGAGATAGGGGACCTAGGGAAGGAGTACAAAAATGATAAAGATACACTGTGCATGTACCATTCCCCAAAACAAATGTAATTACTGTGTATCTCAAACACATAGCAGTAAAAAATGAAAATCAATCTTTTTTTGTCTTGTTTTCTTTATATGTAGCCCTAGGGATAATAATTACACCTAACTGACAGAATTCTGTGGAATATTGAGTTAGTTGTTTGTAATAATTCTTAGAACATTGCTGGGCATGTAGCATATGCTCAGGGAAAAGAATTTTCTCCTTTCTGTATGGTTTCTGGGAAAAATGCTTTGAAAGGACATTTATCAGGATTTTGTTCAAATTAAACAGGCACATATTCCTGAGTTATCTGAAAAAGCTCTCAGTTAGCCTGTGTACTGCTGTCTACCATCTTTTATCTACCCAAAAGGGTGAAAGCTTATTGCTTGCCCAGCACTAAGGCAGACATATTTAAATCCGTATTTGAAGTGTGGGTGAGCCTTTTCCATTTAAAGGTAGCTTTCTGTACAGCATTAATGTTTCTTTTTTAGTGCATGATTATAATGCAGAACAGTGATGTCTTGATCACTTTCAGCCCCTGTAGTCCCTCTGCTCCCCTTCCCCTAAACCCTCTTCCCTATCTCCAAGAACCTGTCTTCTAGTTTCCTCTCATCTCTCCTTTATTTTATTCACTTATTTATTTATATTTTAGGTGTCTCATATAATAGAAAGTATGCGATTTGTGATTTTTTTATCTGTAACTTTCTGAGTCTGACTTATTTTGCTCAACATGTTAGTCTTGAGCTCCATCCACGTCTCTAAAATAAAATTATTTTATTTTTCTCTGTGTCCAATAGTCCATTATACATATGGACTATGTTTTCTTTATCCATTTATCTGATGTCAGTCATTTGGGTTGTTTCTGGAGCTTAGCTATTGTGAATTACACTGCTATTAACATAGGTACGCACATAATAAATTTATGTTTCTTAATGAAGAGATTAAAGCACTAAAGCACCAGGAGACATCTTAATGAAAAATGGCTGATATTTCTCCAAAATGGTAACTGTGAGTTTATTCCATTTTAGTTAAGAGCTTCTCGTTCTGTAGGCTTTCCAGTTAATCATTGCTGTAGCATGTTTAGCTTTGCACAACAGTTTGTGTGTTAGTTTCCTACTTGTTCTACTAGATAGGATTAAAACGAGTTGCATTTTCTGAGAATAGAATTGGTAAAGCTTTGGCCTATGACTGACTTATATAAGTCATATTGATTGTTTATGCATATGAAGAGTGAAATTTCTTGACAGTTGAATTTTTATCTTTAATGGAATATGTTCATTGATGTTTTCCAGGGAATGATGATTGACGAAGCAGATGAATTTGTAACAGGGCCACAAAACAAATTGAAACGTCCTGGAGAGACCAGTCCTATGTCAGCTAAGAGAAGGCGGAGTATGTCCCTGCTATTGAGGAAACCGCCAACACTGCCTACTGTGACAAACCATGTGGGCGAAAAGGGATCACTGCCGGCCTCGTGGTTCTCATCATATCCAAACCTAAAACCCACCCTTGTACATTCAGGTACAGAATAGTGATTGTGATGTCCTTATGGCTCCCACAGGACTAATATTTTCAATAACTTTGTTTTCCTTTTCTTGTGTTCTTTTTTTTTCCCATTAAGTAAACTATTACTGTATCATCTATGTGGTAGCCACAACAGGCCTTCTGGGAAGCAGGGCCGCTGTTTCAAAAAATCTCAGTCTATTTGGGGGCAAGATCCATAATTACATAGTAATTAAAACATTGTATTGATATGTCATTAGTAAGGAAAACATGGCTTAGTAAGTGAGTAAATGTCAGTAAGTTGTGAAGTGGAGCGTTACGCGCATGTTCGCTACAACCCTTTGGAGCAGGTTTCTGAGGCAGGTAGGATGAGTGAGCCAAGAAGATGGATCTGCCCTTGCTTTCTGTGCTGTCACCTGTGTGCTCTAACCCTGTGTCACCTGGACTCTCCTTCCTTGGCCCCACTGAAACCATTCCCAAGGTCACCAGAATCTGCTGCTCTTGTCTTTCCTTCCAGCAGCGCTTGACACAGTTACTTACTCCCTCCTCCTCCGTGGAAGCTTCTTGTGTTCCCAGATATCTTGATTTTTTCCCCCTATCATATTGGCTCCTTTCTGCCTATCCTGTTCTTCTGCTTTCTCCCCTTTCTTCCCACCTCTGGAAACTGTAGGGGCCCAAAACTCAGTGCCAGGCCCAGTCTCTACCTGGGTAATGCCATGCAACTTGGAACTATAAGTTTGGTTTCTATTTCAACAGCTCTGATATTTATACCTCTAGACTACAACTTGCTCCTCAGCTCCACACTCTGATTTACCCTGGGACATGGCATCTCCTCGAGTGTCTAATAAACATATACAACTCAATGAGCTGGGGGCATAGCTCAGTGACGTAGAGCTTGCCTTGCAAGCACAAGGTTATGAGTTTGATTCCTGGTACCAAAAAGAAAATCTCAACGGGTTTCAACTGAAATACAGAACATACCCTCCTCCAAAACAGCTCTCCTCACATCCTCCTACATGGCAGTTAATAATACCCAGTTATGTTAATAATATCCAGTGCCTGTGGGCATTGGGAGGATAGCCACGCCCTGGACTGTAGTGTTTGCAGACTTCCCTAGTGTTTGCAGATTTTCCTAGATTTCTCTAGTATAAGTAATGTTAATATTACCAATGCCAAGCTGTGGACCTGAAGTTCCTGAATCAGAGTAAAGAAGAATTAGCCACGATCCACTCTCAAGAGTAGTGTCTGCTGGCTCCTGCACACCTCTGGAACTATCTCTACCCAGGGGGTCATGGGATAAACCTTCGACTCATCTAAGATTTTTCTTTTATTCTTCTTTTACTTGCATCCAGTTAGCAAGTCCAGGAAACTTAACATTCAGTATAATCTCTAGATCCTACCATTCCTCTCAGTTCCTGATTCCTCACTGCCGTCATCTCTCAACAAGCTACTATGATAGCTTCTTCTCTCATCTCCCAGATTCCTGTTCTTGCTCCTAACCCATTCATTATCCTGCAGTGAGAGAGATCCTGTGGGCAGGGAAATGAGGTGAGGCTATGTCCACCCTGAAAACCCAACCTCCGCATTCCTAAGCATCCAGATCACAACTTGAACTTGTGACCCTGGGCTACAAGCTCAGCCTGGACTGGCCCCTCTAGCCTCTCCCCACCCTTGTCCCAACAGTTTCTTCCTTGCTCTCTCTGCATCTTCCCATCACTCTGTGGCCCCTGGTTCAGCTCCTCCTGGCCCTGCCTCTTCTCTTAGCCCAGCCTGCATCCTCTCTATGCATCTGCACACGTTGCTCCATCTCCTCCTCAGGCTCTACTCAGGAAACACCTTCCCAAAGACCCTGCCTCCCTCCTGAGGCTCTGGAGGTCCCCTCTATGGCTTCCTCTCATATCCCTGCCTCCTGCCCCATGGCAAAGTGCATCCCACGAAGGACAGGAACAGGTTCTATCTTGCTCATTGTTGATCCCTAGATCCTAGCAGCAGAACATGTGTAAATGACAGAGATAACAGACTGGGCCTAAAAGGAAAAGTACTTTCCCAGAAAAGGAAAGAACAAGAGAATCACACAGAATGGATTTGCTGGTGATAGGGTAGAAATAGAATGTTCAGCACCAATGAGCGCCTCTGTTTTCTCAGGATATTTGACATAGACAGAAGGTAGAATATGGTCTATGCAAGTTATCTGCCTTCAAGCTCTGTGTGACTGAGATGACATTAAGTGAGATTTGTTGCTTTTCACCTTGCAAAGCATAACAAACAGGCTGATGCTAAACCATGATTACCAAGCACCTGTGTTTATTAGTTGTGCTATCTTGATTTCTGTATTTTCATAGACTGGAGGGAATAAGGTTGTCTTGTATTAAATTCTTCAGTTCAATTTGAAGAGTCTTAGATTTCTACCTGGTATATCCTCCTGCTTCATGAAATATGTACCTTTTTCCAAACTGAGGAGCAAAGTGACATGCTTGTGGGGTTGACATAATGTACTTAACTCATGGCTTAACTTTTCAATTTGCTTTCCAGATGGCGCTGTCATTCATGATGTCCATGAGGAGAAGATGGAAAATGGGCAGACCCCTCCTGATGGCTTCTTGTCAAAATCTACCCCAGTGGAGGTTCTGAATGTTACAGGAGATGGCCTTCCATCCAATCAATTGGACTCTCTGTCTGATGACTTTGCTAGTCTCAGGAAAGATGGACTGATTCACAAACCTGGTAATAATGTTCTTGTAGGAGGAGCTCCAAACTGCAGTCTGTCTGTAGATGACCAAAATATCACAGTACCATCTACTTTGGAAACTATATTGCCAAATACGTTGCAAATCACTCCTGCAATGGCACATGGAATCAATGCTGATATAAAACACCAATTAATGAAGGAAGTTCGAAAGTTTGGACGAAGTAAGTAGTGAAGGAATAGCTATCAAAAGTACAATGGGAGGTTTCTCATTCTCTGGTTCAGAATAGATTTAAGCTACCTCTTGAGATATATTTTTGGACAATATTGAGTTTTTACGTAATTTAAAGCAATTCCTCTGACTTTAACAAAAAAGATACAATCACCTCTATCCCCCTTTTTATAGTAGTTTCCCTTTACTGCTGTAACAAATTATCTCAAAATTAGTAGTGTAAAACACACAAATTCAGGGGCTAGAGGTTTAGCTCAGCGGCATAAGCTCCTGCCTTGCAAGCAGGCAGTCGTGAGTTCAATCCCTGGTACCGGTAAAAATGAAAAAGACAAAAAAAAAAAAAAAACCACAAATTTATTATCATAAAGATCTAGAAATTGGAATTCTGGAGTTATTTTTCACTGAGCTACAATGAAGGTGCTGGCAAGTTCCTTCTAGGGGCTTCAAGGAGAATGTGTTTCCTTGCGTTTTGAAGTTTTTAAAGGCTACCTACCCCTTTGGCTTTGGCCCATGGCCCTTTCCTCTGTCTTCAGGTCAGTAGCATTAGCGCTTTTTCTGCTCTCTGACCTCTGCTCCTTTGCTTATGTCTTTTCCTGCTGATATTTACTGCTCTGTCTTAAATTGATTCTTGGGCCAACATGCGTAAACCCAGTTAATCTCTCCATCTCACTATCCTTAGCTTAAATATATCTGTAAATAGGATATATATAATTTTTTGCAGTCTCCAGAGATAAGGACAACTTTGAGTAGCTATTATTCAGCCTCCCACATTGAGTTAGTGTTTAAAAGCTTCCTTAGTAGATATATGCAGGCATTTTGATTCATGTTTAAAATAGCAACTGTATCTAACTTTCTGCCCAGGAATAATGCTTATCGAGGATGTATAATAATTCTATTTTATTTCCCATTTATATTTAAAATGCTATGATTTTTCAAATATCTTTAGAGTATGAAAGAATTTTCATTTTGCTTGAAGAAGTACAGGGACCTCTGGAGATGAAGAAACAGTTTGTTGAATTTACCATCAAGGAAGCTGCAAGGTGAGTATAAACAGGGATCATTCAGGGTTTATTTTGTTTGAGCAGTTGTGTCCGGAGGCAGGACAAAGAAAGGAATCAGCTCTGTCTTGATTCTCTCAAATTCTGATCCTCAGTCATAGATAAGACCTCCTCTCAAGAGATTTTTAGACTGATAGGTAATTATCTGAGGCTAGTTTATCCATCCTTGTAGACCAATGTGATCTTGGGTTCTTTGTTGGCATTGTCAGTATTTGCTAAAACAGCATTTCCATGTAGATTGTAAGCTTGACTTTGTATCCCACATAGTGGGCTTGTACACTATAATATCTTGTACACTATAATATGTGTGTGCTATAAATATCTTCCAGTTAATAAAATTTCTCTTTGCTTTCAGGTTTAAAAGACGAGTTTTAATTCAGTACCTGGAGAAGGTACTAGAAGAAATAGATTCCCATTACCTTCTCAACAATGTTAATCACATAAACAGCAGATCATCATGTTAATGCAAAGACCCGTGCGAAAAAAAGGACAAGTTTTCTATGCTATACAGTGAAACTGGATGTTGTTGCAGCATCCTAAAATGTTTGAGTCAACAGAATCACCCTCCATAGTCTAAGAAAAAAAATGGTGGACTTAATTGAAAGCACCCATTTTGGTTTTATTGTTTCTTTTCCCAATTGAGGAAGATGATGCTGTTAATTCAGTGTACTAAATTCATAAAACACTGCTGCCCCTGCCTACCATAGGTAGTAAGGGTTCACTCTTTTAAACTTTGCCATCCCCGGCATTTTCTGAGTGAAGAGGGGGCACCAGCAAGTGGAGCACTACTTAAAATGTTCTTACCATGTCCTTTAGAAACAATAAGCATACAGAATCAGAGGCTGTCCTGTGTATGCTAAAGAGTTTTTAATAATCCCTAGTTGTGCCTTTTGAATCATGCAATATTCAAGATAGTTTGAATCAGAGTAAGAAGCTGCTATTTGGGTAACTTATTTTCTTTGGGAAGGGCCAGGGAGAGTCACCAAACAATCTACCTCCAACTCTCTTCTATTTTGTCTAGAGACATTACAAAGTACACCTGAGGCTGCCCTAACCCTGGACATTTTGTTCTTGCATGTGACAACAAAAAGTCTTCAGGTGGACTTGTACATTCTGTGCTTTGGAAGCACTAAAAGAAAAAAAAAATAATGTGTATATTTCCTTTAATGTTTATACAAAAGTTTATATGGAGCAGTATTATTATGTTTGTATTAATTTGTAAAAATGTAAGTGTTGAAAGATTTTGACTTTGCATATATGAAATAAATCATTTTATTGATTTTCACAAGTTCATTAATGATAGAAAAGTTTCTAGTCATGTTTCTTGTGATTTGTTATTCTATTCCTTTCAGAAACAAAAGTTCACACTTCTAAAGAAATGAAGATGTTAACATAAAGATTTAAATTAACGAGCATCATTCAGTGGACTGAATGATATTAGCGAAAGGATACTATGAGGTCCAGTCCCTCCCGAGCAACACTAAAGGGAAAAAATGGTCAGAGTCAAAGTTATAAGAACTCTGAAATATCGTCTAATGTTTACAGCAGCCAGGTTAGTGCTGAATTATGAGAAAAATCATTGAAATCTAGTGGGAGACTTTTGCGGGATTTAAATTTACCTTTGCCTCACTTCCTCCATGGTATGACTGGTTTGAAGATGGCAGCCTGCACTCCCAAGCATGGGCTCCTGTTTCTGAAGTGAGAACACTAGACTTTATCCCCGAGCAATTGTGTTTGTGTGTTTTAACCTGTCTGGAGGTTCCCTGGGCTGACAAAAATGGATTAACTGTCTTCATCTGACATAACTTCAAATTCTCTCAGGGCAAAGAAACAGCTATGTGTAAGATAGTCCTGGGAAATATGTCAAGGCAAATGGACAAGCTACTACCTGGGGAAAATAATACATAAGCCAAAAATTTGGGAAAGAAATCTGGGGATAAGATACTTTGGAGAGTAGTAGTTTTACTATTCTCCTGCATATAGCTGGGTGTCTAGAAAATCACGTGCATGCACAAAGCAGGACTCTGTCCATAAAAGACCTGAGAACACCATAACATTTCACCTCTCTCTAATCTTTAGACTCAGCACAAGCAGGAAATGAAAAGCTGAGTCAAGTTGTAAACAGCCTGCTTAAATATTGAGGGAGTGTCCCAGTATAGAGCCAATTTACAGTCACACCTTGGTACTTGACTACTGTAAAACTCGTCGAACTTGGTATTGGATGCATTTTGGCATAAAATTTGCCTCAATACTCATCTGCATTTGCTACTGATTCACAGATTAGAACTCGTCTGTGTCAATTGCCTCATGATTTGCTACCTTTCCCAGCCAATACAGTCTGTTTGGTACTCATCATTGTTGGTACTCCACAACACCTGAAATCAATTACTGATCAGTACCAAGGTGACACTTCACCAAGATGTGGAGAGTATTTTTATTTACTCCAGGAATTTAAGGAAATCTGTAGGGAACCACTAGCTGACTTCAAGTAAAGGCAATAGACTATGCATGACAAAAAGCAGTCCTTACAAAAGCAGTTTTGTTTTGTTGTTATTGTTGTTTGAGATAGGGTCTTGATAAGTGGTTCAGACTGATCTTGAACTCTCTATGTAGCTCAAGCTCGCCTTAAACTGTCAGTGATCCTCCTGCCTCAGCCTCCTGGGTGCTGGGATTACAGGCATGCACCACCATGCCTGGCTTGAAATTAGTTTAGAGAGTTAATAAACCTCTATAACCCACTAATAATCCTAGCAGGATTCAGATTGTCCAGTCATTACATAATATTGAAATTTTCAAGTTTCCAATAAAAGTTAGAAAGCATGCAAAGAAACAAGGAAGTATAGGCCGATAGTAAGAGGAAGAAATAACAGTCTCACTCAGAAGCCATAGGAATTGAACATAATATGCAAATACCTAACCTCAACTGTCTTAAATACAATCAAAGAAATAAGGGAAAACAGAACATTGCTTAGGATAAAGAACTAAATAAAACCAGAATGATATAAACAGAATACTTCTAAAGAGAAATGTTAAAGGGAACCACATAGAAATTGTGGACCTGAAAAACCTAATAACTGACATAGAAAATTCCCTAAAAATGTTCAAAAACAGACATGAACAGACAGAAGAATCTCAACTTGAAGAAAGGTTGACTGAAGTTATCCAGTACGAGGAAGAGAAAAAAAATTAAGAAAAATAAATAAGACCCAAGAGATTTATCCTTTGCCGTGGGGATACTATTGAGCATAACAACATCCACATAATAGGGTCTCAGGAAGTAGAGGGGGAAAGCAGCATAAAAAATATTTAAAGAAACATTGGCCCCAAACTCCCAGTTTTAATAATTGACTCAAATATATACGCCTGACAAGCTGAAGGAACTGCAAAAATAAAATTCAGAGTACCCTGAGGGACATAAACTATTCACAGACAAAGTGAATCTAGAAATTACTTGTATGCACATGGGATCTGCACTAATACTAACAGCTGATCTTTCATCTGGAGTATGGGAGGCCAGAAGGCATATTTAAAGTGCTAAAAAGGGAGCTGGGGGTGTAACTCAGTGGTACAACACTGGGAAGAAAGCACAAAGCTCTGCATTTGATCTCCAGCACACACACACACACACACACACACACACACACACACACACACACAAGGTTTTCTCAGATAAAACTAAGGGAATTTATCATTGGTAAGAGTCCCCTATAGGAAATGTGCTAACACATCCATCAGCCTGAAATGAAAGGACAGAAATAAAAGGAAGCAACAAAGAGCACCAGTAGAGCCAGAGATTTACCTCAGTGGCATAAGCACCTGCCTGGCAAGCAAAGTCATGAGTTCAATCCCCAGCCCCAAGAAGAACAACAAAAGCACCAGTAAAAGTAACTGCATATGTTAGCTGTATGTTTTAGTCTAGGGAAAGAGGGAAGAGATAATATATTATTGGGAGATCAAAGAGTTTTGGTAGTAGTGGTGATGGTTGTATAACATTCTGAATGTATTTAAAACCACTTAATTGTATACCTAAAATTGATTAAAATACCAAATTTTATATTTGACTATAATTTTAAAAAATCAGTACGTTACTTGTTTAATAATCAAGTCCTATTCCTATGACTGTTGTTAAATGAATCGATCGCTAAATTAAGAATTGTATATAGTGTGTCCATTACAATATTCAGGACAAAGAAATGGTCAAAGGATACTCCAACTTGATGACTTTTGTTTCTATTTGCATAACTCACATGCAGTACTGTAATGTATAACAGAACATAAAACTTCAGCAGTATATTATACAGTATAATCAAAAATTACAGTACCAGGTGTGCTGTACAAAAAAAGACATTGAGGTTCCATAAACAAGATGTATAGAACTGTACAAAAAAGGAAGATGCACTGTAAACCCAAGGTGCACGTAGTAAGACAAAACAACCTCAGTGACAAGTCTGAACGGTCACTAAACAGGTAGATCATTACACAGATAGATCATTAAGTGAGGAATATGTAATTTAATCTACTAAAAGCCACTGAGTCATACACTTAAAATAGATTGCATGGCATGTGAATTATATCTCAGTAAACTTGTTTGCTGAAGATTACGAAAGTTTTCTTTTTCAGTGTAATTCGACTGCATGTTCTGTACAGGGGACTCATTTTAGGTTCAAGATCACAAGTAGAGTGACAGTTAAAGGATAAAAACAGATAATCTATACAAACTGCAACCAAAAGTGACCTAAGTGGATATCGTAACATCAGACACAACAGACTTGAAGTCAAAAATTGCAACAAGAGACAAAGAAGGATCTTAAAAATTGATAAATAGGTCAGTCTTTCAAGAAATAAAAATTCTGAATATAAGCATCAAACAAGATCCTCAAACTAAATGCAACAAATTGACAGTTTAAAGGGAGAAATGTAGAGTTCTATGATAATAGTTGGAGACTTTGATAAGGGATGAACAAGTAGTCGGAAATGAGGACTTTAGCATTACCATAAACCAATTATACCTAACAATACTTATAAAAACACTACGCAACAACAGTAGAGTACACATTTTTCTAAAGTGTTCATGGAGTATTCTCCAGGAATAACTATAATAGGCCACAAACCAAGTAAAAATTAAAATATTGAAATCATACAAAGTAACTTCACCATAATGGAGTCAAACTAGTTACATCAGTAACAGCAGTTGGATCCTTACCTCACATCATTGCAAAAATTAACTCAAAATTGATCAGTACCTAAATATTAGGACTTAAAACCATAAACTCTTGGAAACTTTGGAGTAAATCTTAATGACCTTAAATTTGGCAATGATTTCTTAGATATAGCATCAAAACACATGCTGGACATGGTGGCACATTCCTGCAATCCCAGCATTCCAGAGGCTGAGGCAGGAGGATTGCCTGGGCTACCTAGTGAGTTCAAGCCCAGCCCTGAACTGCATAGCAAGACCCTGACTCACAAAAAAAAAATCAAAACATATGCAACAAAAGGAAAGTACAGAAAATTTTATTTTATTCAAATTGAAAATTGTGCATCTCAAAAGACTATCAATAGAGTGAAAAGACAGCCTACAAGGCGGGAGAAAATATTGCAAAGCTTATATTTGATAAGGGTCTAGTCCATAATGTCAAAACAATTCGTTCAACTCACCAATAAGATGGCATAAGAAATAAAGTAAAGGAGTTTAACAGACATTCCTCCAATGAAAATACACAACTGACATGCATGAAAGATGATAAAAATCATTAGTCATCAGAAATGATAAATCAAAAAACAATGAGATAGCCATGCATAACTACAACTAAGAGTGTAATTTCTAAAAATAGAAAATAACAAAATATAGAAAAATGAGAATCTTCATATACATTGCAGTCGAGAAAGCAAAACGGTAAATCCACTGTGAGAAACATTTTGGTATTTTTTCCCTAAAAGTTAACACTGAAGCTGGGAGTGGTGATGCACACTTACAATCCTAGCATTGGAGAAGCTGAAGCAGAAGGATAGCGAGTTCAAAGCCAGCCTGGGCTACATAGAGAATTTGAGGCCAGCCTGACCTTCATAGTCAGATCCTGCCTCAACATAAACAACCAACCCTTGGAATACCATGTGACCCTAGCAATTCAATTCCTATGGATGTATTCCAAAGAACTGAAAAAGAGATAGTAAATAAAACTTACATACAACTGTTTGTGGCAGTGCTATTTAAAAAGGTGGAAACAGTTCAAATGTCCATCAGTGGGTGAGTAAGCAGTGTGATGTGCATGTACGATGGAGTAGCACTCGCAATAAAGGGAAGTAA